GCACTATTCCTCCCACTGACACCAACAATGTGGCACTATTCCTACAACTGACACCAACAATGGGGCAGTCTTACTCCCACTGACACCAACAATGAGGCACTATTCCACCCACACTGACAGCATTGATGGGGCACTCTTCCACTGACACCAACAATGGGGCACTCTTCCACTGACACCAATGATGGGGCACTATTCCCCCCATTGACACCAATGATGGGACACTATTCCTCCCGCTGACACCAACGATGGGACACTATTCCTCCCGCTGACACCAACGATGGGGCACTATTCCTCCAACTGACACCAACAATGGGACACTATTCTTCCAACTGACACCAACAATGCGGCAGTCTTACTCCCACACTGACACCATCGATGGGACACTGTACCTCAAACTGACATCAACAATGAGACACTCTTCCTCCCCTTGACACCATCGATGGGGCACTATTCCTCATGCCGACACCAACGATGGGGCACTATTCCTCCCACTGACACAACGATGGGGCACTATTCCTCCCACTGACACCAAGGATGGGGCAATGTTCCTCCCACTGACACCAAGGATGGGGCAAGTTCCTCCCACTGACACCAAGGATGGGGCAATGTTCCTCCCACTGACATCAATGGTAGGGCAGTGTTCCTCCTACTGACATCAATGATGGAGCACTATTCCTCCTCCTGACACCAACGATGGGGTACCATTTCTCCACCTGACACCAACGATGAGGCACTATTCCTCCCATTGACATCAGCAATAAAGCACTATTTCTCCCCTTGACATTAATGATAAGGCACTATTCCTCCCACTGACACCAACGATGAGGCACTATTCCTCCCACTGACACCAACGATGAGGCACTATTCCTCCCACTGACACCAACGATGAGGCACTATTCCTCCCACTGACACCAACGATGAGGCACTATTCCTCCCACTGACACCAACGATGAGGCACTACTATTCCTCCCACTGACACCAACGATGAGGCACTATTCCTCCCACTGACACCAACGATGAGGCACTATTCCTCCCACTGACACCAACGATGAGGCACTATTCCTCCCACTGACCCCAAGATGAGGCACTATTCCTCCCACTGACCCCAACGATGAGGCACTATTCCTCCCACTGACCCCAACGATGAGGCACTATTCCTCCCACTGACCCCAACGATGAGGCACTATTCCTCCCACTGGCCCCAACGGTGAGGCACTATTCCTCCCACTGGCCCCAACGATGAGGCACTATTCCTCCCACTGGCCCCAACGATGAGGCACTATTCCTCCCACTGACACCAACGATGAGGCACTATTCCTCCCACTGACACCAACAATGGAGAACTATTCCTCCAACTGACACCGATGAGGCACTATTCCTCCCACTGACACCAAAGATAAGACACTGTTAACCTCTACTGACAGCAAGACATTTTCTACTCTTACTGGCCACAATCCGGCCCTTCTAAAGTTTGAGGGACAGTAAACTGACCCTTCATTTAGAACGTTTGGAGACCTCTGGTCTATATCCATAAAAAATACCCTGCCCCTACTGTTCCCACTCGTCATGTGCAGGACAGCTCATTCATTTCAATTGGTTCCCCTACCTGTGAGAAATGTGAGGAAAGTCCCCAACCCTTTATACCACACTGGTTTTCAGCGATGCGGGCTGATGAGTGTATGTTGACAGTGGAGGAGTCCTGCTCTCAGAATACAATAACACAGCAGGGAGAATTCCTCCATACACCTTGCTTTTATGGATGGAGGAATCAGTTGGTTTTTTTATCTGCTGGCTGATCGAAAAAAAAAAAAGGAAATCTGTCTATGGCTGGCCATAGTCTCGCAATATCCTGAGAGAGCAGCATAGGCAAAAAAACAGCAAATAGAGGTAAAGTGCAGCTACAAGCCAAGCATAGTGTGGTAAGTATAGGCAAAGCAGTTCCAGCATGTGCAAACTACAGATAGGTTAGCAGCCAGGCTTTATCTCCTCTCACCACACAGTGTAAGATCAAAGAGGATACAGATGAAGCTTTAGCTCCATGGTGATGTAAGAAGACTAAGCTGTGAAAACATATCAGCCACTCTCCGAACATAAATCCTTTATTATCAACAACACAGTGACTGCATACAACAGAGTCTCCACCCGGAAACCAAACTTTCTCAACGCGTTTCACCATTCCATTTTTGTTCCCTCTGTCCTTCTGGGCAAGCCAGAAACAGTGAAATGCGTCGAGGTCGGTTGATTTTTGGGTGGAGACACTTTTGTATGCAGTCACTTTGCTGACAATTATTAAATACAGCAAGAGCAGTTAAGTTTGGAGTGAGGCTGATATTTTTTTCATATCTTTGACGGAGCATGAAGGTGGACTATAGTGTCCATGTATCACAGGAGGAGCTATAGATTGAAGAAGATTAAGAAGTATAATCGTAATGTTTAGGATTAGAAGTGAGAACATTTCTTTTCATTGCTCTCTTCTTTATACAGAGTTAGGTTGAATAAAGATACTGGTCCGCCCAGTTCAACCTGAGTGTATGTTAATAATAACAATAACCATAACAACAATATTATTATTATATAATAATAGTTATTCTTTTATTATTATTATTAGTAGTAGCAGTATTATTATTATTAACAACAATATATAATAATAATAGTTGTCTTTGTTCTTGTTATTATTATTATTACTATTATTATTAGCAGTAGTAGTAGTAGTATTAACAACAATATTATTAAATAATAATAATAATAATAATAGTTATTAGTTATTATTATTAAATTAATAATAATAACAACAACAATATTATTATTAAACAATAATAATTGTTTGTAATAATAATAACAATATTATATAAATTATTATTATTATTATTATTATACAGTATTTATAAAGCACCAATAGTTCACTCAGCGCTGTACATTACAAAGGGGGACAGAACATGTGACAGAACAATACCAATACAATGCAAAACATGAGGGGATCGAGGGCCCTGCTCTTTCGAGCTTACAATCTAGAAGGGACGGGATAGTGGTACAGGAGGAGATAGCTGTGGGGGATGGAGTGGTAGGAAGAGTGGAGGAGGTCGGTCAAGTTAGCAGGGGGTAGGCTATATATATAATAATAGTTATTGTTATTAAATATTATATTATAATATAGTAATAATGATAAATATTGTTATTAATATAATAATGAATGACAGTAATAACTATTATTTTATATAATAATGATAAATGTTGTTATTATTATTGATGTTATTGTTATTATTGTTGTTATTAATATACTAACAATATTATGGTTATATAATAATAATCAGAATTATAAATATTGTTATTATTAATATAATCATTAATAACAACTATTATATATAATAATAATGATAAATATTGTTGTTATTATTAATAGTTATTATGAATTATTATATTAACAATTTTTATAATTATTATTATATAATAATATTGCTATTATATTAATAACAATTATAATAACAACAATAACATCAATAATAATAACAATATTTGTTGTTATTATTATTATTCATTGTATTATTATTATTATTATTATTATTATTATTAACAACAATATTATTAAATAATATAATATTTATTGTTATATTATTAATAATAATAACAACAATATTATTATATAATAGTAGTTATTGTTATTAATTATATTATATAGTAATAATGATAAATATTGTTCTTAATATAATAATTATAATTTTAATAAATAACAACAATAATAACATCAATAATAATAATAATAATAATAATAACATAATTATTATATACTACGTTATTGTTGTTATTATTATTATTTTTTAATTAATTTTGTAATTATTATTATTAATAGTTGCTGTACTGTTTCATGTATTGTCCCCCCCTCTATTGTACAGCGCTGAGCAAACCCTTTGGCGCTATATAAACTCGATGTAATAATAATAATAATTATTATTATTATTATAAACAATACTAATAACAATTCTTTCAATAGAAATATAATGGATAAAAAAAATGAACTGTATTAAACTCTAGAATTTGCCTTAATATTAGTTTGTGGCAACGCTCGGCTATTATTAGCATATTAAAAGAACCGTATCAGCCAGTCAGGTTGTATTGCATTCCACAGTGATGTCAGTCTAACATAGGGAATGTTGCTTACAGAAGGAAAAGCACAAAGATGACATCATCAGTGTGTTGTTGCTTCTTTACTGTCGTTTCAACATACTGGAGCAGTAAGGCGGCATCACTACTGTATATTCCCTAACTCGTACAGAAAGTGGTGTCTAATGACTCTGTAGTATGGCAGGCTGTGTAACTTATAACTGTAGCCAGAGTTGAGTTTTAGTGCCGGGTCATACCGGGCGGATTTGCCATGCGATGAAAGTTTCAAATCGCATAGCAAGCCGTACCCTATTCTGCGCAATTACAGCAGTCATATCGGTGCGATTCTGACTTGGTCAGAGTCGCATTAATTTTGATAGTAATGCATGCACTACTTCAGCTGCGATTTGCATAGACATCTGTGTCTTGGAAGCCGTAGATTTCTTGCAATTCGCACCTTGAGTCAGAATGACATCCGACCAGGGGCGGACTGATCATTCGAGCACTCGGGTACTGCCCGAGGGCCCGGGGTCAGTAGGGGGCCCCATGAGATGCCCTTGGTACCTTTCATTGGCTTTTTCATAGGGTTTTTTGGGTGTGGGCAAGGACACAGAAGCCCCATGATCCCCTATTGCCCGGGGGCCCCATGACTTGTCAGTCCGCCCCTGCATCCGACTTTGGAAGCCACACAATTTCAAAGTCAGAGCGGTGTGACTGGGGAGTAAATATACAAAGCATGAAGAACAAAGTATAATGGTATGCCATGTACTGACAGTACAGTTAGGTGTGTCCTATATACATATCACACATTGCAGTCCTCATTGTGTATTTTGTGGGGTGTTTGCAGATTCTTAAGGAAGCAACGCCAATGCAAGTATAAAGAAAACTAAGAGGAGATTATCATGGAGCCTCAGCCTGATGTCCCAGAGCAGCAGAATGAGGTATGAGATATCGGGGATTCTAATGTGTTATGTAATGCTGTACACCATCTGCCCTAGAGCTGGACTTCCTAGTAATGCTGTACACCACCTGCCCTAGAGCTGGACTTCCTAGTAATGCTGTACACCATCTGCCCTAGAGCTGGACTTCCTAGTAATGCTGTACACCACCTGCCCTAGAGCTGGACTTCCTAATATTTTCTATCACCTAAGGGCTAGTTAGGAGGACAGAGTTGGGGCCCGTTTACACCATGGTGTGCCTACGTTCTCGCTGGTGTGCATTAGGAACCTCTATTATATAGTAGATACTGGGACAGCTTGGAACACCGTCCTGTTAGAAGCAACCACAGGCATTTTGCCTGTTCAATAAGAACTCATTGTTCATGATACCTAGTAGCCAATCAGCTTTATAGGTGCACATTAAAGTGCAACTCCACTTCTCTTGGCAATAAAAGAAAAAAACCTAACTCAAACAGACTTTTTAGTAAATGTCATTGAAGAACCATACTTGCATCTGTACTGTAGGCATTTAAAGAGGTTCTAAAGACTGGAGGGTTTTTTTACCTTCATGCATTCTATGTGCAGCTCTCCCTGCAGCCCACCCCAATACTTACCTGAGCCCCAGCTCGATCCAGCAATGTGCATGAGAGCATCGGCTCCCCCGGGTCTTTCTCTCCTCATTGGTTGAGACATTGGCCCCTGCTGCTGTCAGTCACAGCCAGCTTGCTCTGGGGGCATTCGGCAATGGGAAGGGGGCTAGAAGAGCCTCCAAGGGACCCAAGAAGAGGAGGATCGGGACTGCTCTGTGCAAAACCATTACACAGAGCAGACACGCAAGATCTGTTTGTTATTTTAAAGAAAAAAAAACAAGCCTTTAGAATCACTTTAAATTTGCTGAAATCTTTCAAAATGAGTGCAGGGCTTTTTTTCTCAGAGAATAGGTGCAGGTACTCCTCCCTTCTGAGTAACCACTTGTCTCCGTTCCCTACCCACCTTCAACCAAGATCCTTTGCAGCCAGCAACAATAGACCACCCATCAACAATAAACCCCCTCCAACGACAATAGACCCCCATCAACAATAGATCCTGGCTGACAACAATAAATTCCACCCATCAACAATAAACCCCCTCCAGTGACAATAAACCCCCTTCAGTGACAATAGACCCCCCCCCCCCCGCAACAATAGATCCCATCTGGCAACAATAAATTCTACCCATCAACAATAGACTCCATCAACATGTGATCCTGTCTGGCAACAATAAATTCCACCCAGCAACAATAGACCCCCTCCAACAACAATAGACCCCCTCCAGCAACAATAGACCCCCTCCAGCAACAATAGATCCCATCTGGCAATAATAAATTCCACCCATCAATAGATCCCACAGCAGCCATACCCCCCAAAAAATCCCCTCCAGCAACAATAGCTCCCCTATGTAATAATACAGTAGATATCCCAGCAGCCAGCATCAGTAGACCCTCCGGCAGCCAGCTACAATAGACCGCTCCCTCAACAGAAGATCCCTCCCAGCAACTATTTACCCCCCTAGCAACATAAGATCCCTCCAGTGAAAATATATACCCCACCAGCAACAATAGACCTCTCCAGCAACAAATGATCCCCCAGTTACAATAGATCCCCCAGTAGCCAGCATCAATAGACCCTCCAGCACCCAATTCAGTGCTGGAAGTGCCACAATTGTGTTCCCCCGCATTCTCACTGAAAAAATGCCCTAAGTGTGAGGTCTTGCCTTCACTATGATGACAGGATCCACTCTTGTGTTCTAGTATAAAACACTGCGTCCTTAAGGGCCGGTTCACACATGGAACGCACTGTTCCCACACTGCATGCTGGAAAGCAGTGCCTGAGCGATCTGCTGTGCGTGTCAATGCATTAATGGCATCCCAACGCAGAGCGCAAACTCAGTGTATATGTAGGCATCAAATCATATAGTACCACAGTATCATGCAATTTGGTGCGGTGCATTTTTTGTATGCATCACACACACTTTTCTTCATGTTCCAGTGTGATTTCAACCCATTCAAATGAAAGGGCTGCAAAATCATCACATGCTGGAATCACACGGGAATGTGGCATGTGTTCTTGTGCAATCCCAGAGCAAAACGGCCCTCAGACAAGCAGGTTTGTGACCGAAGATGAAAACTCTAGTTTAGTAAACATAAGATCATTTACAAGGGTACCTGTTATTAAAAAAAAAATTATTGTATTCTGCTATATCGGGTTTATGCATGTAATGAGAGCATTCAGGACATCTGCTCGTCTGCCACCCTATAGCACAAAGCAGCAGGGCTGCGAAAATCATATACACACATACATACACATGTATGTGTGTGTGTGTATATAGTATATATATATATATATATGTGTATGTATGTGTGTATATATATATATATATATATATGTGTGTGTGTGTGTGTGTATATATATATATATATATATATATGTGTATGTATGTGTGTATATATATATATATATATATATGTGTGTGTGTGTGTGTGTATATATATATATATATACATATACAAACATATATATATGTGTGTGTGTGTGTGTGTGTGTGTATATATATATATATATATATATATATATATATATATATATATATATACACACACACACACACATATGTACGGTGGAGGAAATAAGTATTTGATCCCCTGCTGATTGTCAGTGTTTGCCCACTCACAAAGAAATGGTCAGTCTAAAAATCGAATGTTCGGTGTATTGTAACACTGAGAGACAGAATAGCAACAAAAAATTCAAAAGAAATGCATGTCTAACAAATTATGCACTGATTTGAGGGAAGAAGGTTCACCCAAGATTTGTCCCGTCCATCGTCCCTTTGATGCGGTGCAGGTGTCCTGTCCCCTTAGCAGAAAAACACCCCCAAAGAAGAATGTTTCCACCACCATGTTTGACAGTTGGGATGGTGTTCTTGGGGTCATAGGCAGCATTCCTCCTCCTCCAAACACGGCTAGTTGAGTTGATGCCAAAGAGTTCGATTTTGGTCTCATCTGACCACAACACTTTCAACCAGTCCTCCTCTGCATCATTCAGATGTTTAGTGGCAAACTTCAGACGGGCCTGGACATGTGCTTTCTTGAGCAGAGGGACCTTGTGGGCACTGAAGGATTTCAGTCCTTGTCGGCGTAGTGTTACCAATTGTTTTCTTGGTGACTCTGGTCCCAGCTGCCTGGAGATCATTGACAAGATCCTCATGTATAGTTCTGGGATGATTTCTCACTGTTCTCATGATCATTGACACTCCACGAGGTGAGATCTTGCATGGTGCAACAGACCTAGGGAGACTGACAGTTGTTTTGTGTTTCTTCCATTTGCGAATGATTGCACCAACTGTTGTCACTTTCTCACCAAGCTGCTTGGCGATTGTTTGGTAGCCCAGTCCAGCCTTGTGTAGGTCTACAATCTTGTCCCTGACATCCTTGGACAGCTCGTTGGTCTTTGCCATGGTGGAGAGTTTGGAATCTGATTGATTGCTCCTGTGGACAGCTGTCTCTTATACAGGTAACAAAATGAGATTAGCTGCACTCCCTTTAAGAGACTGCTTCTAATCTCAGCTTGTTACCTGTATGAAAGACATCTGGTAGCCAGAAATCCTGCTGAATGATAGAGGATCAAATACTTATTTCCCTCATGAACATGCAAATCAGTGCATAATTTGTTAGACATGCATTTCTTTTGAATTTTTTGTTGCTATTCTGTCTCAGTGTTACAATACACCTACCATTCGATTTTTAGACTGATCATTTCTTTGTGAGTGGGCAAACATTCAAAATCAGCAGAGGATCAAATACTTATTTCCTTCACTCTATGTGTGTGTGTATTTATGTGTGTATATGTATATGTAGCGCGTGCCCAACTCGCGCTGCCATTGGCGGCTTAAGCTGTCGATCACCAGGTCCTGGCTGGTGATTCCCCACCTGCACCTGGCGATTGCCGAGTATCACTGACGGGGGAGAGGTCTGTGTGTAAGCAATACAGATCTCTCCCCTGTCAGCTCCTGCACACTGCTTTGTATGGCTCTGCATAGCAGTGCCATACAAAGCAATGTGCTTACAGTGTAAACCGCACACAGTTAACCCTTTGATCACCCCAGATGTTAACCCCTTCCTGCCCAGTGCCATCAGTACAGTCAGTGCTTTTTTATTAGCACTGATCACTGTATTAGTGTCACTGGGGATGTCAGTGGCAGTTAGTTCCCCCCCAGTGTCAGAATGCCCGCTGTAGTACCGCTATAAGTCACTGATTGCAGCCATTACTAGTATAAAAAAAATTCCAGTATTTATACCACCATTTGTAAACACTTTAACTTTCACATAAACCAATTAATTTAAAAGTATTGGGATTTTATTTTATCAAAGACATGTTGCAGAATACATTTTGGTCTAAATTTATGAGGAAATTTGATTTTTTAAATTTTTTACTGGACATGTTTAATAGCAAAAAGTAAAAAATATATTTTGTCTTTTTTGTTTATAGCGCAAAAAATAAGAAATGCATAGGTGATCAAATACCACCAAAAGAAACCTCTATTTGTGAGGAAAAAAAGAACATATATTTCATTTGGGTGCAGCATTGCATGACCATGCAATTGTCAGTGAAAATAACGCAGCACTGTAACGTAAAAAATGGTCTGATCAGGAAGGGGGGTAAATCCTCTGGAGGGCAAGGGGTTATAAATTCCTTTTTTATTACTATGAATTCTCCATCTTTCTCCCACAAACCTACCCTCCTACCCTCAAGCTTAGTGCAGGTTTCTCAGAGAGGCAGCAAATCACTTGCACACAAGCAGCAGAAATGTGTTTTGCAAATTTCTGATCTACAAATTTAGTACCTTTGTAGTAACTGATAGCAATTTTTTTGTGCGACTTAAAATTATATTTCCCTTGCAGCCAACTATTGTAATTTAAAGTGCATTAAATTCCAAAACCGATTCTTCAGAAGCTGTACTAACTCATT